GAGGCAAGTGGCACGTTGTTTAACGACACCGTCGAATTCCTTTCTCCAAGAGATGCTGACGGTCACGGAACCCACACGGCGTCAACCGCGGCGGGACGCTACGTTTTCGAAGCCAGCATGGCGGGATATGCGTCTGGAGTTGCAAAGGGCGTGGCTCCCAAAGCGAGACTTGCAATGTACAAGGTGTGTTGGAAGAATTCTGGCTGCTTTGACTCTGACATTCTTGCAGCATTTGACGCTGCCGTAAACGACGGCGTCGACGTCATTTCCATGTCCATCGGCGGCGGCGATGGCATTTCCTCTCCTTACTATCTTGATCCAATTGCGATAGGGTCCTACGGTGCAGTTTCCAGAGGTGTGTTTGTGTCATCCTCGGGTGGAAATGACGGGCCCAGTGGAATGTCGGTGACCAACCTAGCACCCTGGTTGACCACTGTCGCAGCAGGTACCATTGATCGCGATTTTCCGGCGGAGGTTATACTGGGAAACGGACGAAGACTCTTCGGCGTGTCTCTCTACTCCGGAGTTCCGTTGAAGGGGAGAATGTTTCCCTTAATATATCCCGGAAAATCAGGGGTTCTTACGGATTCACTGTGCATGGAAAACTCGTTAGACCCTGACCTTGTGAAAGGGAAGATAGTGGTTTGCGACAGAGGAAGTAATCCCAGAGTTGCGAAGGGATTGGAGGTGAAGAAAGCAGGAGGAGTAGGAATGATTCTGGCTAATGGAATATCCAACGGTGAAGGACTTGTTGGAGACGCTCATCTTCTTCCCGCGTGTGCACTTGGTGCTGACTTGGGAGATGAAGTTAAAGCCTACATTTCATCCTCTGAGAACCCAAGGGCCACTATCGATTTCAAAGGAACTGTGGTGGGAATCAAACCGGCACCCGTAGTGGCGTCGTTTTCAGCGAGAGGACCCAACGGGTTGAATTTGGAAATACTTAAACCTGACTTGGCGGCCCCCGGGGTGAACATTCTGGCGGCGTGGACCAATGCGGTTGGGCCGTCAGGGCTGGAGTCAGACACGAGAAGAAGCGAGTTCAACATTTTGTCGGGCACATCGATGGCGTGTCCTCACGTGAGTGGGGCAGCGGCGTTGTTGAAATCCGCGCACCCTGATTGGAGCCCTGCAGCCATAAGGTCTGCAATGATGACAACCGCTACGGTTCTTGACAACACCAACCGTCAAATGGTTGATCAAGCCACTGGGAATGGCTCCACGCCCTACGATTTCGGCGCTGGACATCTCAACCTCGCTCACGCCATCGACCCTGGGTTGATTTTCGACATTACCAACGATGATTACGTCATGTTTTTGTGTGCCATTGGCTACAGGCCCAGGGTGATTCAGGTGATTACTCGATCGCCGCCTAAATGTCCACGGAGGAGGAGGCCGTCGCCGGAGAATCTGAACTATCCGTCCTTTGTGGCGGTCCTGCCAGCGTATTCATCCTCCAGAGGGTTATCGTTGCTGAGAAAGACGTTCTTCAGGACGGTGACGAACGTGGGTGAGCCAAATTCGGTGTATTGGGTGAGGGTAGAGATGCAGGCGGAGGGAGTGACGGTGACGGTGAGGCCGTCGAGGCTAGTGTTTTCGGAGGCGGTTAAGAAGCGGAGTTTCGTAGTGACGGTGACGGGAGATGCAGGGAATCTGGTGCTGGGCGAGGCCGGAGCGGTCTTCGGGTCGCTTTCGTGGACCGATGGGAAGCACGTTGTTCGGAGCCCCATGGTTGTCACCCAAGCTCAACCGTTTTAA